AGGGGGGGGTTTTTTTTTTTTCTTTTTTTTTTTTTTTTTTTTTGGGTGGAGCTTGAAGTGGATCAAGGTCGGGTTTGTCTGGGAAAAATCGAGGTTCTTCGCAGAACTGAATTCCCCCTTGACCTTGTGAAGGAGGCTGGTCATCTTGACCTCTGTAATTGATCATCATGTTTATACGCAGGAAAGTTTGAAGATTTGCTCGAGTTTCAATTACTTCGAAACTGTTTTACGGGGCACAAAATTGTTTTCTTTTTGAAAATTTGAATAGCACCTGAGGCGCTTAATGTCTACATCAGCAAATATTTTTCAAGTCCAGAAATTCTTTAACTCAAAAGCCCCGCAAGACAAATTCAAAGTGATCAACAACAGAATGCGACTTGCAGTAGTTTGGCTGTATTGACGATAGATGATACAGATCTTTTCCAAGGAAGCAAAAGATATGAATTTTGTGAAGATTTATTTGAGTCTCAATTGGTTTTAAAGGATTTTACGGATCACATAATTTTCTTCATTTCGAAAGTTTATTAGTGCCTGAGGCGCCTGATGTCTAGTTGTTTCCTCCACTCAAAGCCACTGCAAGACGAATTCAAAGTGCTTAACATGATTCGAATTCGATAGGTTTTGCTTTAAAGATGATGCAGATGCTCTCCAGGAAGCAAAATACTGTATGTAAATTTTATGACGGTTTTTTTAGTCTCATTTGGTTTGAAATTATTTTACGATGCACATAATTTTCTTCTTTTTGAAAGTTGAATAGTGCCTGAGGCGCTCATTGTCTATAGCAAATATTTTTCAACTCCAGTTTTATCAACTCAAAAACTCTGCATGACGAATTCAAACTGATGATCAACAGAATTCGACTTGGTGAGGTTTGGTTGTAAAGTTGATACAGTGCTTTCCAGGAAGCAAAAACTGCAAATTTTATGACGGTTTATTTGAGTCTCAATTGCTTTGAAATGATTTTACTAGGAGCTCAATGTCTAGTCGTTACCTCAACTCAAAACCTCTGCAAGACGAATTCAAACTGATTTAACATGATTCGACTTCGATAGGTTTTGGTTCAAAGACGATACAGATGCTCTCCAGGAAGCAAAATACTGTATGTAAATTTTATGAGGGTTTATTTGAGTCTCAATTGGTTTGAAACGATTTTACGAGGCACATAATTTTCTTCATTTCGAAAGTTGAATAGTGCCTGAGGCGCTCCATGTCTAGTTTTTTCCTCAACTCAAAACCTCTTTAAGACGAATTCAAACTGATTAACAACAGGATTCGACTTAGAGAGGTTTGGCTGTCTAGATGATACAGATGCTCCCCAGGAAGCAGAAGATGTAAAATTTTACCCGGAAAGTGTATCGAAAGCTTCAATGCCTTAATTTTTTTTTTTATGCAGCTCATAAACCACTGAAAACCTTGGTCATAAGGGTACCAACGCGTGGTCTGATGTTCGCATTCATTTCTCTGATCATCAAGTGAGATTTGGCATTATTTGCGTGGAAACGAGGATAGGGTCGTTCTATAAACCTCGTTCTAGTAAACTTCGTTCAACTCATTTAAGAGCGTGAGAACTGGTTAAAGAATTTCCTTGCCCCAGTGACCTGTTCGGCGTCGTCGATTTATGGTGTGTTCTTTCGATGGAAATCTGATGTGCCGTTAGTTCAACTCTTCGAGTTTCTGCTTCGGAATTGATGTAGAATCTATAGAAATAGGGAAAGAAACTTTTCTTGTCTTGGAAATTTCTTGTCTTCGCATGCGATAAAAAATTTTAAAACGTACGTTTTAAATTTTAATTTTAAAACCCCGGTTTTAAAACGTACGTTTAATCTCACGAAGAAATAGCTTTTAATTTTGGGAATTGTTTGAACATGAGTTTGCGAACGTTCTTTTGGGTCAATCCGTTGAATAAAAAAAGAGGACAATTTTCGTTTTGGTGCTTGAATTGTGTAACGAATGCTTTTTCTCTGGGACTAAATGAAATTTCAGAGATGACTAAAAGGTCGTAATGTGAGTAAACATTTCCGAATTGGTCTTGCATTTCGTTTCTCATTTATTTTTCTTTGACTGAAATTGGTTTCGCGAAAGGCGAGAGTTCCTGCGACACAGAAGCGAGATTTATATTCAAGCCGTCAGATTTATTTTTCTCTTCGCCAAAATTTTGGGAAATAATTTATTTTTCTCTGCGAATTTCAAGACGGACCTGAATTATTATTAAAAATCTAGACTTATAATGATACGTTTTGGCGCGGCTGATTCATTCGCAAGTCATGTGAAACCACTAGGAAACGGGGCCAGCCTTCTTTACGAACCCTTTCAACCTCTCTTGCTTTTAATTTCTCTCGCCGTTTTCCTTTGCGAGTTACGATTGAATTCTCAAAAGAGCTGATTTTGAACCATACGTAAAAATTATCGAGAAAGTTAAATCGATCAGTCAGCCGGTGAATGCACCACGTGCGCTCACCACGTGAGCGCACGTGGTGTTTCATTGAGCGTTTAGTTTCAAACACTTCGAACAGGTCTATTTCATTCAACCTGACAAGGGATGCACACGCAGAAAATCATTTGCATGAGTTTTTTCCAGTGCGAATCATTGCGAGGTACATGTGGACTCTCCGCGACGACACTTTAGGGACCGAAAAAAATATCGTTGTAAAGAGAATTTCTTTGTAAAGAACCCCTATCGCATACCGAGAGAACTCTATGGGACCAACAATAATTTTTTTTTACAGAGGAAATCGTTGTAGGCCAGATCGTTTTAGAGAGAGAGAGAGGGAGGGAGTCCACCTGAATTGTGTTCCTTTTGAAGTTGTTTGTGTGTTTGCAAAAACATAAAAATACGTTGCTGATGTTCTTCGTTTTTTTTTTCGCAGGCGAAATTGCGGATGCACATCCACGACCCGAACGCACCGGAATTGGTGCACTTCTTGTTCACTCCGCTGACGCTGATTGTGAACGCTTCCCGGGATCCAAACTACGCCACGACGCCGAATTTGCCTGCGCACGTGGTGTCGCCGATGCTGACGCGCGACGCTGTCGATTTACTCGCCAACTGTCTCACATCCAAAGAGACGGAGCTGTGGAACTCTTTGGGCGACGTGTGGCTCGTCCCGGGATCCCATTGGAAGGGCCAGGCGCCACCGTACCACCCGGTCTTCTACGACGGATGGACGCCAGATTACGCGCTGGACCTGCAGCACAGAGAAAGGCCCGAGTCTCTGGGGGTTCTGGCGGCGCAGGAAGCCAGGACTAGGCTGGGACCCGAGCTCAAGAATGCCGACGACAATGTGAGTGGGAGGCCTTTTTTAAACGAGGGGACCTTTTATTTAGTGTATTTGAATTTTATTTATGTACTGTATTTTTGGTACTTTCTTGTCATCTCTGTACCTCATTCCTAGACCGCACTACCATCCAGACAAATCTTTAGGACAAGTTCATAATCACGACGACCTACCAGAAACTGTGAATTTCATTTTTCCGCATTCTGCTGAAACTGATTTTGGGAGGCATTTAGGTAAAGTTAGGTTAGGTCAGGTTATGTTAG